TGAGAAATGCAAAAATGACTTTTTCATATACCTACACTTTGTAACGATGAGCCATCATTGTCCAGGCCCACAATAAATATTCAGTGAAGTGTTAGTCTGTGTTCTGTAAAACCAGAAAAGTTAGAGAATTAACAAGGACTCAACAGCTGGACATTGCAAAGGCTGCCCAGAGAGGCTGTGGGTGCCCCATCCCCAAAGGTGATCAAGGCTGGGTTGAACGGGGCCCTGATCTGGTGGTTGTCAAACCTCACCATGGCAATGGGTTTGAACTAGATGATCTTTGAGGTCCCTTCCAATCCAAGGCATTCTATGACTTATGCTAATTAGATGGGCATCCACAACCCCAACATGAGGATGACATATCACAAAATGGAAGCAACAGTGGAAACTCTCCCATGAATGTCTAAGTTTGGAGTTTTTTAAGAACGTATGTCTGTCTTTTCTATTGCCAATAAGCAATGCAGTTGTCCAGAACTTTTGAATATCACACCACTGTTTAAATACCTCACTGGGGAATTAAGAGCTTGCTTAAGGTCTTGTTTTTGATGCTTCACCTGATAAGTATTTAAGGAATTTGCTATAAAAATATTTCTTTCCACATTCTTTTTCGGCTGAACATAAGCCTTACGCTCTGTGGATTTTTAAAAACAGGTTTTTGTTGCTCCTTGCTGCACAGAGTAAATGAACTTTGGGTACTTTATAGAAATATTAAGCTACTATTGGGACTCATATATGAGAAGTTTTCAGTGGTTGCTACTTTTCCTAAATCACATTGGCTAGGTGTTAATGTTCTGATCTTGCAAATATTTATGCCAAAGGGCAAATATTACTTGCATGTGTCAAAGTAGCTGCAGTCACAAAAATGAGTCAGACCATGGTTTCATATTGTAAACGTTCACTTGTTGAAATTAAAATCATAGGAGTTCCTGATCCGTTGCTTCACGGGTTGATGGCTGGAGTAGATGATCTTAGTGGTCTTTCAAATCTTAATGGTTCTGTGATTCTATGATTCTTTTAACAGCAGACATTTGACACTATTGTTCGGGATACTTTATCTCACAAGGTGCTTAGTGCTGAAACTGCTCTGTTGTAACCAGGTGGCAGATGACAATTTGTACCTTCACGTGAAGGAATACAGGATACCCCTCTGCCTCGTGTTTTGCTGCAGCTAACTACAGAAATCACCACTAGCAGTATTTTTCAGGGAATGGCCTTACTTCACTCTTGACTTCCCATATTTTCTGGCCAGTACCAAGAAAAGCATGTGCTCCTGACACAATAGCATATGATGAATTAAAGCAAAAGCATCCAGCACTGCAAGCAATTGCAAAGGACAGCAGCACCGCATAGTCCATACATCCAAGCACTGGTGTTGCATCTAACCCCTTAACAAGCCTAGAGAACAAAGTTAAGCAAAAGGCAAACACCTAATAACAAAATGTTTCATGCTAGGAAGCCTTCATAAAATGGTGAATTTTTTTTAAAGGGAATTAATCCAGCTGCCCACCATATTATTACAGCAACAGAGTTGCATCATTTCTAAGAAGGAATGTGAGAAGGAACAGCCTTAAATTGCAGGGGAGGTTCATGCTGACTATTAGGAAAAATTTATTCTCTGAAACAGCGGTGAAGCATTGGCACAGGCTGCCCAGGGAGGTGGGGGAGTTGCCATCCCTGGAGGTGCTCAAGAATCATGGAGATGTGGCACTGAAGGATGTGGTCATGGTCAGTATTGGTGGTAGGTGAATGGCTGGAGTAGATGATCTCTGGTCTTTTCCAACCTTAATGATTCTATGAGCATGCTACGAGAGATCATCAATATAAAGGCATTAGAGCAATGAAAATTAGGGCTGTAACTCAAGATGCATGAGCAATCTTTTCCCACTCCTTTAGGACAACATGAGTATTCTCTCAGCAATCTTTCTCCATTACTTGACAAGGCAAATATTACATGGCTTAAAAAAAACCCAACAAACAACAACAGAACAACAGTCTGAAATGGAAGAACACTTTTAAAACAATTTAAGGCCTATTTTGCTCCTTGGTGAAAATATGTTTTACATAAAAACAACATAAAACCAGATCAGCAGGAAAGTCCTGACAAGGAAACAAACACGTGCTGCACGGAGCATCCACACTTCAAACACCTTAATGCAGTAATTTGTTTTTAATGATCCGTGCAACAGAAAATATGAGGAAAATGTCATATAAGTGTCCAAGAATAACAGTGGTTTGTTGCTTGGATTTAAACTCAAAGGAAGTTTCCATGCTCTTGAAGGTTTCCATACCAGTGGGCCTGGGGGAACACGGGTACGGTAGGCTTACATCTGCTGAGAGGGTGGCATCCATCCTTCTGAATCTCCTCCTGCAGCTCTGTATGCTATGTGACTGCACAGTCGGAGCCTGCTTTGAGTCATCCATCTTGCTGGGGCCTTAACCTCTTGCCCAAGCCTTGCTCTGGTGCTGCCCATGCCCTCACAGCTGCTGGCAGCCCCTGGTGCAGCACTAGGCTGAGTTGTTGAACCATGTTGAACCAGAAAAAATATCACTTCTTTCCACAGTGATGACAACAAAATGGCTCTCTGTGGTCACTTGGGGTGAGCAATCTCTCCTCTGTGTGCAGCGACTCTCCAGCCTGGTTTGGGATGGAAAGGAAGTGAATTTTTGTCATGGGGAAATGGAAGGCAGAAAAATCTCTTACGCACCTGTCTGTTTCTTTTGGTGCCTAAATACCTTTGAAAGTCTTGCCTTGAGTGCCAAAGCTATGATGGATCACACAGTATTTCCTTTTTATTATTGCATTGCATCCTTTGGGCCTCACATTAACATAATGAGGGCCATATGGCGTCAGAATTTCTGCTGGTTCAAACCAAGGCAGCTCCTTTGAAGTCAAAAAGCCTGTGCCAGTTTATACCTGCTGAAGATTTGGTTTATGGCCTGGGAAACGAGAGGGAAGGTGGGGTGGGGGAAAAGGGAGCCAGCCACATTTTTGTAGTTAATTAAGAATTATGTAGATATACTTGTGTCCTGCTTCTGCTGTCCACCAGGAGCTGTGCCTGAAGTGCCTTCATGGTTGTAATATTCTTTGCATGACTCTCATTATCAGCTGCTATAACTCAGTATTTCAGTGGTTGGTGGTGAAACTGCAGTGAGCCGGAGCCAGACAGCCAGCCACCTCTGGGCAGCAACCACAAACATCCCGTGTTCCTGGCCAGCAAGTCAGAAGGACATAAGGGTTTCCTTGAGTAACCATGACTTTTGTGCTAGGAAATTAAATTCTTGAGTTTTGGTTTTCCTTGAATTAATTGTGAAAACACTTGATAGTTATAACTAAGTAAAATCTTATAGAAATATCTGCTGAATATCACCAAAATTAAAGATTAAAGATTAGTCTGCTTAGAAAGTAAGCAACCTAAGTCAAAAAATTAAGGCCTAGGAATGAAAGCTAGGGAGAAGGAAATAAATAATACGCCTAGATAAAATTTCAAACTCCATTGCTGAAGTTCTTATTCGAAACACCCAGATAAAAGAAACTGAACTTTCAGAAATGTTGTCACTAGTGAACGCAGCTGAAGTCAGCGAAAGCTCTGTGCTGCTGGTACCCAGAAATGCCCTGTCATGTGGGCCCTGAAGCGGAACATGTCTTCTGGGGAACCCGGACATGGATGCTGGACATGGCACTGAATTTGTGCACCTTGATGAAAACATTCTGCCCAGTTTCTGTAACAACTTCACATTGATGCTTCAATCCCAAACTTGGAGGTAGTTCATATTCACATCAGTCCAAGGATCGATATTGCACATGCTCTTCCTCTGTCTGGCCAGCTCCTGAAGTACTGTCACCTCCCTGTGCTCTCAGCACTGCGACTTCATTGAGAGGGTTTGTATGGCAGGTGATGGGATGTAGAGGCAGCTCCTGGGAAGAGGGAGAACATCAGTTCTCTGTGGGTGTCAGTGGGAGGTGCTGGACACTGCTGGAGCTGGGAAAGAGGGATACATTCTCTCCAGGTATAGCTGCTTTGCTAGATCACACCTGCTCTTAATCTTCTGCTACTATGCACAGTTAAATATTTATTAGTCAGCTCTCAGTTGGGACTCAGAGTTGATTATTCTGAGGAATTTCCTGCTTTGAAATTAGATTATCACAGGGCAGAAAGGGCTCATCTCTGATGGCAGCTTCAGCCCACGAGGACTCCTCCTGTATGTTTCCATATGGCAAATTGATCTTATATGCCCCCTTTGTAGCAGTGATGTAAATCAGCAGCCCTTTGTAGGGTGATGTTCAGGTAAAAGCCACAGAACTGAGCTCTGAGCAGGGTAAAGAATGTAGATTTAGGCAAAGAGACTGAAATATGGGCTATTATCTGTGCAGGAAATGTCCTTTCCAAAATGAAATTAAAAAAAACCTGAAGGCTGTGATCACTAGTGAGGCCACACCTCGAGTACTGTGTCCAGTTTTGGGCCCCTCACTGCAAGAAAGATATTGAGGCCCTGGAACGTGTTCAAAGGAGGGCAACAAAGCTGGTGAGGGGTCTGGAACACAGGCCATATGAGGAGAGGCTGAAGGAGCTGGGAATGTTCAGCCTGCAGAAGAGGAGGCTCAGGGGAGACCTCATTGCTCTCTATAACTTCCTGAAGGGAGGTTGTAGTGAGCTGGGGGTCGGCCTCTTCTCTCGTGTCATTAGTGATAGGACCAGGGGGAATGGCTTCAAGCTACGGCAGGGGAGATTCAGGCTGGACATGAGGAAGTATTACTTTTCAGAAAGGGTGGTCAGGCACTGGAATGGACTGCCCAGGGAGGTGGTGGAGTCACCGACCCTGGGGGTGGTCAAGGAAAGGCTGGATGTTGTGTTGAGGGACATGGTTTAGTGGGAGCTATTGGGAATAGGTGAACGGTTGGACTGGATGATCTTTTAGGTCTTTTCCAACCTTGGTGATTCTATGATTCTATGATTCTATGATTCTATGATTCTATGATTCTATGAAATGTTCTTCCCAAAACGAAATTAAAAAAAACCTGAAGGCTGTGATCTCCATTGTCTCACATCTCATCAGTGCAAATCAATCCAATCGAAATGGAGTAAACTTACTCCACTGAAGCAAACAGGTTGCAAAAGGGCCAGCTGAGAGGACTTAAACAGGACTTCTGATTGGAGGAGAAGTGTGGGTCTTCTCTGTTAGAAGCCACTCTTACATTGGTGCAGTGACGGTGGGACTCTCAGTCCCTCATTTGTGGGAAGAAGGGAAGCTCCGGCTCAGGCAGGTCACAGGGTGAGGGACAGCTCCTTCCTCCATCCTATTCCTCCTTTCTGCAATGCAGAAAAAGATGAGAATCGTGCAGTCTTTGTTCAACTAGATAACAGTGCACAGAGCAATTTCCCAACTGTGCCGAGTATTTTACTGGAAAAATCAACTATTTGAGATTCCTTGTATTCTGCATATGCAGTGATGTCATGGAGGAGGTTGCATTCATAGCACTGTTTGAGTAGCTCAGCTAGGAAAATCCTAGCTTCTGTTAGCTGTTTTAGTGTTGCTGCTAATGTTTTAATGTGGTTATGTAACTCACAGCAATTTGAACATTTCATTAGACTTATTTTGCAGGTTATGTATCACCTTGCACACAAGTCCCCTCCATTAAATCATCTTTGCACATTCTGCAAGCACTCTCTACATCCCATGCCTCTTCAGCAAGGTCAGACAGCACCTTACATTCCCTTTAGCAAAAAGTGAAGAGATTCAAGTATCGGTGCTGGAAGAAATGGAGGAGATTGGAGCCTCAAAGCTGCATAAGACATGAGTTTTTATCTGATCATATTGATGACAAAGTCAGACTCGGCCTTTTTCTCTCCTTGCTAAGGATGCTGCCAGCTCCTTGACCAGTGGTGGTTTTGCACTCACTGAAGTATTAAAGAAGTCTCTGATGCCATTGTGTGGTTTCTCTGGACTGCCTTAGTGCCCTATGTTAGGCCTGCAGGCAAATGACCAGGTCCTTGAGCTGACTGCGGTTTGAGGTGAGGCTAACTAAGCAAGACAAGGGAAACCACAGGTCACAGCTGAAGAAACGGCTGAAGATAACAAACAGCAGTGTAAGAAATAGCAGAAAGCTAGAGACAGTACTGTGAGAGATGGCTGCATCTCACAAGTGGTGAAGGGACTGTTGTGTGAGAAATTTCTGGACTTCATAGGTAGCTGAAGGGTAACACTGGGGACTTCCTGGGGAGCACAATCTGCAAGGCCAAGAGCACTCAGGTAGCCATATCCATAATCCCATGGAAAGCTGTCCCCTGACACCACTGCATCCCAGCCGTGCCCACATACAGGTGACCAGATTTCCCAGTATATACTGTCCCCACACTTGCCTTGGCATCATTGACTATTTTATCATAACCAGGAGTGCCTAACTCCGGGATAGATCTTTGTCACCTAACCTTTGGCACCAGGCAGAGGTGCACGAGGTTGAAGCACGGCCTCTTTTTCTTATTCAGGGAAGCATAAGGGAAAGATAAAACTGTCAAACCACTTTGAGCCTCACATCACTGATATAATACTATTAACTGACCCTCAGGAGTAGCATAAGGCTTAATTAATTGCTCTTTGCAGAGACAAACTGATGGAGGACACTGTAGAAATGCAAGCAGATCTATTAACCTGAAGAACTAGTCTAATTAAGTGCTTGAAATTGCTAATAGATATTTAACTTTATTAAAGCAGAGGCTTCATACCAATATTTTCATGTAAGTGTAGTTAAAGTTTGATTGTCTGTTTTGAAAAATAGTTCCATAATGTTAATTATGGGCTGGTTAATTATCTTATGGCCATTAAAAGTCCTGTGTACAAACAATTTGATTTCTCCATGCCTTGCACACAAACATGGCTAACAATTGTCTTTATTTCTAACATACGAGCGTCTGAGCTGAAAACACAGGAAAAGATCCATCACTTTTTCAAAACCATCCCTGCATCTCTGAGAATGCCCTTGACTCTGTACAGTAATGCTTAGCAGCAACTGTAAACATTGATGTGTTATCAACATTGTATTTCTCTTAGAACCAAAAGCACAGCATCACACCAGACACTCTAAAGAAAACAATTCCATCCCAGCTGAAACTAAAACACACCCACACTGCACAAAAATAGATGTTCATGCCAGCTCCAACCAAAGGCCCAGCTATCTTACAATCATGTTTCCAATATGGACTAAAAATGTAAACCTAAGGAAAGTGTAAGGAAAATACAAGTGCACAGCGATAGCCACCCAAGTACTCTATCAGCTTAAACATGCCTACAGCTTCAGGAATCACAGCGTAAAGAAATATTTCATTCTGTGTGTTCTGAATTTGCATCTCTTGGCTTCATTTCAATCCTGTAATTGCAATAAAATCGTATGATAGAATAATAGAATTGGGTTGAACGAAACCTCAAAGATCATCTCTTTCTTCATAATTTTATAGATATGTATCTCAAAGCCCTCAGCTGCTTCTCCCAGCAGAGGAACCAAGGCACACATTGTGACCGTCCTCTCTCCAACACTCATCCCTGTCAGCATTCTTGGGTGTTCGCTTTCTGGGACAGGGACCCAAATCCTTGCCAAATGTGACAAAGGACACTTTCTGCTGGGTGTAAGGTGATAAGCATGACATAAAAAAAAAAAAAAAGTTGGTATCATGAAAATATTATGCAGCAAAATCCCAGAGAAGGTGTTGATGAGAAGTTTGAAGATTCTACACATGTTCCTTTCCTTCATTAACTACCAGTTCACTACACTTCAATCTTCTGGTTGCTTTTCCTGGTGTAAGGCTGTTTAAGGAAAATTCTACTGATGATTTTACCAGTCAGATACTTTAAAGACTTTCCATACAATCCTAGTTAGTCACTACTGACGCATCCCGTTTACAGTGCTCTTAGGGCTGCACACCATGCCCACTGCGTGACCTCTAAGGGAATACGTCCAAAAATGTTTAAGTAACCTACAGACTGAAATTCTTTTTTAGAACTACTTCAGTTCAGATGTTTTAGGCACCTAAAGGTGCAGGTAGGGTCTTAGCAGAACCTGAATTTAGAGTGTTAGCCACGTGCCTAAGTGCTATGCAGAACTTCACTAGAGCTGAAACCCCCTTGAAAATGAGATCAGGCCTCTAAGATAATGTGCAGCTTTTAGAAAATGCAGTCTACAATTCTGTCATACAATCTTTTAAAATTCTCTTGCCATCTCCGCTCTGCAACAAGAAGCAAGAATACATATAATAGGGCATTTAAGAGAGAAAAGTGGGACACATCAAGTGAAACATTTCCAGCAAAAATAGGGAAGTATCAGTACTATTATGTAGAGATTTAATGAAACCTCATTTGGTCACTCTGAGTTCAAGAAAGAGGAATTCAGACTGGAACAAGAATAGCTTGAATGGTTGGAAGAACAAGCATGCTGTTAGACATGGAGAAACCAAAACAACTTGGGTCTTTAACTGCTCACATTGAATCTGTATTGTACAATATGGAGTCCATGCCTGGGATGGAAAAGACTGCTTATGAAAAGGAAAGTGTTGGTACTGCCAAAACAGTTATAAACTCGCCATGAATAAGTTTAGGCTGGAAAATGGAAGGAAGCTCCAGAGGAATGATGTCCTCTGAGTCTTTCCCAGGGAAACAAACAACCCAGTCACTTTTAAGCTCGAGCAGTTTGTGAAAGGGATTGTATCATAAAGCCACCTGATTATATCACAGCAAGTCTCCGCCAGCTCTACTTGCCAACAGGCTTATACCCAGATAGGCTGAGCCAGACAAAAAACACCCTACATGAATGGGGAACTTGGCACAGGGACCAGACTTTGTAACTTCCTTGTAAAACTGCAATCCAAAACTGCCTTGGTTTTTTGGAATTCCTCGGAAGAAAGTGAAAACATTCAATAAATACTTCAGTATTGGCAAGAGAATGGTCAGTTTCTTTAGCTAAGTTGGTTAACAGCACATTGATGAGCACAGCTGAGAATCTGCAGGTCCAGGCAACTTGAACTCGGGAGCCATAAACCAGTTAGGGGAAGGAAACTTGGCACGCTAATGATAAGCACTGGAAAAGCTGGGAAGTTCCAGAGGGCTGGAAATGGGCCCATGTGAAGGCAGTCACACATGGCAGTCAAGATTATTTGAGGAACTACAGGCCAGCTACCCTGCTGCTCTCAGGCAAGATAATGGGAATGCTTCCATTAGCAAGATTCAATTAGCAAAGTAAGAAATGATAAGCAGATAATTATGTCAGACACATGGTTCGCTGTCTTTTTCAAAGTAGTTTGATTTCATTACCAGAGGCACTGTGGAGTTGAGTGGTAGTAGCAAACAGGGATTTTTAAAGCTTGGTACTCCTGCAGCATTGCAATTAAAAAGAATTCCATGTCATGTCAATAAAATGCACGTTAATTGGGTCAAAATCTTGCTAATTGACAGGTCTCAAAAAGTGATTGTCACTGGGAATCATTTAATGATGAAATGCTGGCTTCATTATATAGTCAGTACTGCTCAACATTTTCTATAGCACTCTGAAAGCAAATATAAGAAACATTGCTGAGTTAATTTACTGTAGATGACACTGAGATTGACAGAATGATAAATAATTATGAAGATAAGGCTGTCATCTAGAATCATTTGAAGAGAGAGATGAATCAAGATGATTCAAACACATCATGTTTTAAATTAGAGAGATGGAAAATTACAGAATTCATAGCAAAGGAAGCTGACCATCTGCAGGGCAAGGCTGTCTCCAAAAAGCAGGAACTCAAGAAGGATTTAAGAGTGCTATTTGGCAAGGCACACACAAGCTCTCAAGGTGACAGGATAAACCGATTTTTGTGTGTACAAGGCAAGGAAGTTATTTAGTAGGAAGAAAGAAATTATTTTACCTCTTTAGTTGGCCCAACTGGAAAAGATTAGATTCTGGAAAAGAATCCTACAAATCTGGTGTGCATTTTAAAACACGCTGCCAAGCTGGAGAAGTCAAGAAATGCATCACAGGAGAGGGTTGTATTTCCAGTGGGAAATACAAGCTCAATCTCTTACTAAAAGCAAGAATGAAATGAGTCTGTTTACAGTATGCATATTTGCAATGCAAAAATGCAAAGTCTAAAATGCTGTGGTGTGCATGGCTGTGATATCTACTGTGCCTTTGAGTATGTAGCCTTTGTGTGCTCACAAAACAGAATTTATCTTCAGCCCCAGCTCACTGCAGGATAGGATGAAACAATTTGTGAGAGAGGGCAAAGAGCAGCATGATGCGTAACAATAATAATTGAGTCTGACAGCACAGCACACTCCAAATGTTGATAAATTCAAGCTCTTTAGAGTACGGGCCATTATCCTCATTAAGTCTGCGGCTCAGACCTGGCCAAATTCTGATATGTTCAGCTTGCTGATGGCTTGGGGCTGTGGACATCCCTCCCAGTCACCACACAGAGATGCAGAGACTGTTTGGCCCTGTCCAGTCCCAGCCCCATTGCGGGAGGCTTGTGTTCAATCTGCCTCTTGCATGAAAGGTCTCTAGCTCCTTTCAGCACCAAAAAGCTGGTCCTTGTAGGAAATCAGGAACCTCAAAAGCCAAATGTAAGCACAGAAAGAGGCAATGATTACATGGTAAGTTGACAGATCCCAGCGAAGACATTTTAAACTAAAAGAGGGAGATTTAGGTTAGATGTTAGGCAGAAATTTTTTTGCTCTGGAGTGGTGAGGCACTGGCATGACTGCCCAGAGAATCTGCAGTTGCCCCATCCTTGGAAGTGCTCAAGGCCATGTTGGATGGGGCTCCGGGCAGCCTCAGCTGGTGGGTAGCAGGTGGTTGGAACTGGTTGATCTTTTAAGGTCCCTTCCAATCTAAGCCATTCTATAATTGTATGATTTTTTGGGAATGTTCTGACCCTGTATGTGCATGTAGAGCAAGGGATGAACCCTAGGTTGAGAAGCAGACCAGGCCAGGAGCCCACAGGAAAGGAAAGAGAGCAGAGAAACCATAGCTGTGTGCCATGGGCACTAGGAAGAGCTCAGACATTTTGAGAACTAAGACCAAAATAAACCAGTTACTTAGTGCTCCTGTGCTCAGGGAAGAAGGCTTTGAACCTTCATGTAGCAAACCAACAGGTATGAAGAGAGTTGAACTCATCTTCAATTTCTACCTGTAACTGAAATGACCTACGAGATCCCGAATTTGGCTAAAGAATCAATGTGTATGAATCTGTGTGTGTGTGTGCAAACGTGTGCTCAGACACAGACTGGGAGTCAGCTTCCAAGAATTGCTTCCCTGCAGTGTCAGCGGCCTGACAGGAAAAGCACGTTTCTAATGAGACAAATGCAAAGTAGAGCCAGAGAGAACTTAGAAGACGCTACAAAAAGGCGACTTCAAAATATTGTTAGAAGTGAGCTCATTAAATCTGCCTGTTTTGATCTCTGCATCCCACACAGTACAAAGGGCCCACTGGCTGTGTATCAAGGGGGACGGAAAGATCGATTCGTATCAAGGACATAGGCAGAAGTACACAAGGGTACGAGTGTCTTGTTTCATTTGCCTGTTTTAATCTTTCACTTGCAACTACTTTTCGTTTTGAACTTTGAACCCAAGAGCAAAGGTGTGCGGAGCAGCGGATGTAAGAGGAAGGCATGAGCAGAGCAGGCCTCAGGTGTCACAGGGCATAAATAGTGGCCACCAACAGAAACGAAGGGGAGAGAAGAGGTCACAGGCAGCACATGTGGCTGTGCAAGGAGGTTCTGTGTGAGCACAGCATGTATGTTTTGGATGCAGGAGTTTTGCAGGGCTGCAAATATTGCAAGGCCCAAGTGCAGTGAAGCAGGAGTACAGGCTGCCAGTGTGGAGGAGATGGGGTCAGGAGGATGCTCGTACATGTGGGGACAGAGCAGACTGGGGTGTGGGGTGGCAGAAAGCAGACATGTGGAAAAATAGAGGCCTCTAATCATGAACACAGTGTTGCATTGCAGCTGTAACAAGAAAAGTGACACAGGGAGGGGACTTCAGCCCTCAGATCCAGTAAGAGCACAAGGGTTGAGCAAAGCAGATCCTCCTCATTGTGGCCTTCCAGTACTTGAAGGGATCTTGTAAGCAGGAAGGAGAGCAACTCCTTACACAGTTTGATAGCAACAGGACAAGGGGAAGTGGCTTTAAACAAAAAGAAAAAATTTAGGTTAGATGTTAGGAAAGTTTTTACTCAGAGGGTGGTGAGGCACTGGCACAGGGTGGCACAAGATGCCCAGAGAAGCTGTGGATACCCTATCCCTGGAGGTGCTCAAGGTTGGGCTGGATGGGGCTCCAGGCAGCCTGAGCTAATGGGGGGCAACCAGCCCACAGCATGGGGGTTGAAAGCCATTCTATGATCCTTCTTAAGGGAGTATGTGTTACTGAGAGTACAAACCAGCATGAGATAGGGCAGCCTTTGCACAGGAGAGAGATGTCATGGAAAGGATGGCATTGCAGACATGAAGATCATCTTCCATAGGCAGCTCTGACCTGTGGAGAAAAGTGAACACCGGGTTAATCTTTCTGATAACATAGCATCCAGTGTTTTCTTCTGGTAAAACTGGGCTGGATATCATGTGCTTCTGCTCCTGCTCTCATTGTTTCCACTGGATTTTGTTGGACTGAGCATAGGAATCTTATATTTGCCATCATACCCATTAAGATGATCCCTACTGTGAGGATGACTGGCACAGGTTGCCCAGAGCAGTGGTGGATGTCCCATCCTTGGAAACACTCAAGGTCAGGCTGGATGGGGCTTTGAGCAACCAATCTAGCTGTAGGTGTCCCTGTTCATTGCAGGGGAGTTGGACTAGATGGCCTTTAAGGGTCACTTCCAACTCAAATGATTCTATGATTCTATGGTTCTATGACCCCACGTACTGTGACTTTGCTCAAGTCACCATATTTACAGTGAACCTGGTCTTGTATCAGAGACAGAAGATTAACACAAGATGAGAATTATGTTGAGCAGTAATTACAGGAGGCTGAGTAATTGGTTTTATAACTACAATACTTCAGCTAGGTGGGATGAGTTTCCCCCTGTCCTCTCCCATCCCCTCATACATGACACAAACCCATGAGCTCCAGGGGCAGAGCTCGCCTGCACCCTGTCCATGGAAACCACTGAGTAAGGGGCACTGGGAGCTGGCTGGTGTTAAGGTAGGTCAGAGCTCTTAACAGGGTACAAAAATGTCATGGCAATTTCACTGCTCCACATGTGAAGGACTACAATACATATTTTTATTTATAAAATAAGAAAAAAGATATAAAACAGGATTCATACCACAGATACACTGATTTGAAAGGATACTGCTATCATAACAGAGGTCATTGACATAGCTGAATCGAGGAAAATGACCAAGAATTTAAGAAATCTGAGAATATATTATTTATGGGAAAGAGATGCTCAGCAAGGAGCTGTGTGGCAATTTCTGGGGGTGGAAAGACTCATGGTGTCTGGGTAAGAAACAGCTTGTGCAATCTGTCTAGGAAGGGAGAAGTCATCTAATTCAAGGAGAAAAGTATACAGATAACCAAAACAACCCCAGGGGGCTGCTGTGTGCAGGCTCTGAGAGAAGTGCAGAGGGAGTACAAGGATCTATTTCAGTAAACACGAAAGCCCTGCAGAGCACTGAGAACACAGATGGGAGCAGAGTTTCCTTCAGAGACTGTACATATCATAGTGAAGGGCAAAAGCCAGTAAAAAAATTGGGACTTCATCCAAAATCCAGTCAAACAGCACAAAAATGCAGATACTGTGCAACAGATAGATCTCTGTTGTGGCCTAAAGGATCCTGGTTGTAATGACAAGGCAGTTGTCTTGTTGAGAAAACTATATGTGGGCTCCTGACTGGTTTACAAAGAGCTTTCCCTCAGTCATTGAATTTGTCTTTCTGCCAGTGCTTTGGGCATGATAGCAAGTCCTGCATTAGTATCTTTCTAAAATCTGAGCTGTTAGAATGAAGTGGTTTTACAAAACTCTTTGGGGCTGTTTTTTCTGAGTTCCTAAGGATCTGTGCTTGTCTAGTTGCTCCTCAATCGGTTTTTAGTAGCAGTGATCTAAAGAGCTTAAACCATGGGACTGCAGTGAATTGGCACACATTAACCGAAACCTCTTGGGAAGGAATGACATGATGCACAGGCCAGCATCGTCTGCATAGGTACAGACAGTGGTCAGGGTGGTCAAGACAGTCTCATCCTTGGGCAGTGGGGAGCGGCTTGGGGATCAGCCCCAAAAATTTGGAATATAATATAAGGCTCTGAAATATAAGGCTTAAAGAGGAAAATATCTTCTGTGTTCCTTGGGTAGGAGCCCCTGAAAGCAGAAGGTGAGCAACGCTGTTTTCTTCTGCACTTTTCTATGGCCAGGGTGAGAATCTCACTTCACAGAGCCCTTGTTTCTCTTTTGCTCCTTCTCTGCCTTCCAGGTCCTTGGTACTTCCCCCCACCTTCAGCCTGCCATTGCCTCATCCACAGCAAATGCTCAGTGCCAACAAAAACCCAGACTGAATTTGGTGGAGTTAAGCCCAGCCTACCTTTCACAGTAATTTCCTATGTACTGGCATATTCATTTTGTCAGAAAATTGAATGGAACCTTAAAATATGAACCTTTTGGAAGAGACTTGTTTCAGAACACGTAGGAATGTGAACATGTTTTATGACTGAAATATAAATGCCTTTAAGGTGGAAAAAAAATCAGTGGAAGAAAAAGATAATGGAAATAGTGGCTCAGTGTTCAGGACAGAGCTGGCCTGAGCCCAGTCTGGTGCTCACAGACCTGCTGGTTTCACAAGAGCTGCCTCCTCAGTGAGGATCAGGCCCTGTAGTCACATTTTATTGAAACACTGGTAGAACAAATTTGAGATTATGGCAGCTAGAGGTAAGATAAAAGGAAATGAACCAAGTACGATGCCTTCATACAGCTGCTGGTTATAGGAATGTACTCTGCTGGCCTTATGGGTAATCCAGACTTTGAGATCCCATTCATTCCCATTCTCTCTCCCATGACTTAAAGTAATTCCTTGTGACTGTCTATAAGCCCAAACTCCTTGGAGCTTGTTCTGTGCAGCGTTACACTGCTGGGGCTCCTCCAACTGTTGTGTAATGGAGTGAGATCACAGGCTAGCTCCATCCATGTGGCTTGCACTATCTTGCCTGCCTGATGGTTAGCTGCAGTTGAAACATTAAAAAAACCAATTCATGTAGGATTACCGTTGTAATTCTTAACAGCAGCAGGAAATTCTGATACATAAATGACCTTACATAAGCAAGAAATCATCTGATGTGGAGATGTTTTCTACTAATGTTTGTAAGTTCATTGACTGCTGTGGCTGCTGTTTGGGACGTTCAGTCTTCGCTTCATGTGCTGTACAAGCAGATGGATATAGGCTGGCCAAGAAGCAAGGACAACAGTGCAGTCATGTTTTCAGACATGACATTTAGCCCGTGTTAAATGAAAAACTGGACAGTATTCACATACTTAACCTTTCAGACTATGCACCACGATTTTCAGATTAGAGCGGCCCTAACAATCACAAACTTCCATCCCATGTGGGGTTTTCCTTTCAAGTAAGTCATAGGCCTTTTAAAAAATCTCTTACTGAGAGGCTATTGACATACGAGGCATAAAGAACAAGCAGTCTAGCTTCCTGAATTTTGGCTTCATGAAAGCAATCAGGAGAATCACGAGCATTCAGTGTCCTTTTATTTACACAAAGCCTCTCGGAAATGCAGTGTAAAAATGAGCCCAGTGTATTTCACTGCATCTGACCAGCAAGTATGAGCAACTGAGGTGGGACTCAAAGCTGTACCTTGGTGACTCATTAAGGTTTCTAACCACCACAAAAATCACAGTGCAGCATAATGTAAACAGTGAATGTGCTTTGTCAAGAACAAGGTTCTTTGGGAGCTTCTGGGCAGCGGACATTCTTTATTGAGTAAAATTGAAAGAACTAGAACAGTCTCTTATGTCAGCATATGAGCAAGTTGACACAGTCAGGTGAATAAGAATACATAGAGTGGTCACTGAAAACAAAAAGAATGTGGCCAGCAGGTTGAGAGAGGTGATTGCTTCCCTCTAGATTGCCCCTGTGAGACCCTGCTTGGAGTAACGTATCCGGCATAAGAACAACATGAACCTGTTGGAGTGAGTCTAGAGGAAGGCAATGAAGATTCTCAGAGGGACAAAGCACCTCTCCTATGAAGAATGGGTGGGACAGCTGGACTTGGCCAGTCTGGAGAGGGCTCCAGGCACACCTTCTTGTGGTCCTTCAGTACATAAAGAGGGCTTAAAAGAAAGATACAGAAAGTCTTTTTACAATGGCCTGTAGTGACAGGACAAGGAGCAAAGATTTTAAACTGAAAGAGGGTAGATTTAGGCTGGATATAAGGTATACGTCTTTCACAGTGAGAGTGGTGAGGCAGTACCTGTACCTACCTCCAGTACCTCACTGGAGGCAGTACTGGAACAGGCTGCCCAGAGAGGCTGTGGATGCCCCGTCCTTGGAGGTGTTCAAGGCCAGGTTGGATGGGGCCCTGGGCAGCCTGGTTTAGCATTAAACAGGGAGGTTGGTGGCCCTGCATGTGGCAGGGGGGTTGGAGATTCATGATCCTTGAGGTCCCTTCCAACCCTGGCCATTCTGTGATTCTGTGAGGCAGTGGCACAGGGTGCCCAGAGAAAATGCGGATGCCTCAACCCTGGAAGTGTTCAACCCAGGTTGGATGGGCCCTGGGCAGCCTGATGTAGGAGGATTGGACTAGTTGGCCTTTAAGGTCCTTTCCAATTCAAATCATGAGATGATTCTATGATTCTGTTCCTCTGAAGAGTGCAGGATCTGCCGTGGGTGCAGGATTAGGAGCACCAGGCCTCCAAAAGCAGCCTGGTAGCACATGGGATGTTTGTCTCTGGTGTGCAGGCACTGTCTCACCCATGCTGCTGCTGCTTCCCCAATCTCTGTACCTTCACCTTTGTCTCCTTCATGACATATCCTTGCTATACTCTTCACCCTTGACTATACAGTTATTGGAGCCTGAAAGTATGTTTTGGGAGAGATTACTATAACATTTTATCATCAAGTCATTTGTTGTTGGCCTGGGTGGCTGTAAACTAGAGCGAGTGATGTGCCTTTAAAACAAGCCCTTCAGTCAGAGAGGATGAGCTGTGGTTGCAAAATTCTGTGCATAGCGTAGCATGGTCTGAGAAGAGAAGGCTGGAAATGCTCAAGAGCCACTGGCTTAAACATTTACACATGAAGGTAAACTATGACATGCGGCCACTCTGCAGCCAGGTGTTGATATTTGTGGCTTGCCCCTGGATTATTCCCTGGGCTGTTTTCCTGCATCAATGACATCCCAGGCTGATTAGAGACAACCCCCAAACCAGACAAAGGATGGGACTGTGCCTGTGGGTTTAACCCAAGGGCCAGAAAATGAAGAGTTGATGAGAAAATTGTTTCCTGTTTGCTTGACTAAATACAACTATAACATTAAGA